GGAGATGGAGTGATTGATTAAATCACCACCACCCCTTACACTTATATAATGCTTTTATTCTTTGTAAGTTACCTTTATCCTGTTTTACTCTGCAATAACCCAGAAAAGTAGGTAGTACTGATAACAAAACTTTTTTGAGCCTCAGTTTCCTCATCTCTAAGATGAGGTTAATAATAGCTCCTAGCTCATGGGGTTGTTGTGAGGATCAAATGAGATATTGCCTATAAAGTGCTTTGTGACCCTTGAACAGCACCTTTTATTCCTTTTTATAGATGAGGAAACTGAGGTGCAGTGAGGTTCAGGGATTTGCCCATGGTCACGTGGCTAATGAGTAGCAGAGCTGGTATTCAAATCCAGGCCCTCTGACAAATCACCTGCTTTTCCCCCCATTGTGCCATCCTGCCTTTACTCTGAGATTCTTCCCTTTCTGAGGGAAAAGCAGTATTCTTCCTGGAAAGATTTTGGGTAGAGTCAGAGACCTTCTTTCTCTGTCTCCACCACTGCTCTGTAAATTCTTTTGTCTCTCAGAGAGACAAGTGAGATTTCAGCTCTCCAGTTCCTATAAAACTTAAGCGGTATGAAATAAGAGTAAAGATTTTCCTTCAGAAGGAGCCTGGGGTTAACAAAAAGAAAGATATCTGGTGTCTAGGAATGTGGTTCAGCTCTGCACAGCCTGGAAGAGAAATGTGATGTAGACTTTAAAGAGATTCAGAAGAAGAAGCTCAGAGTGGTTGGGAAAGCTGGCCAAAGAGCCTGGGACCAAGAAGTGGGTGGGGGGGTGGGGGGGGAACAGGACGGGACTGGACAGAGAGATAAGTGTTTTGCTGGGGGGCGGGGCAGGGTTCCGGTAGAGGTCTGGAAGAACTGGAGAAAGAACCTTCAGCCTGCCCTCTCCTGTGGTGCCAGCCAATGTGGGGAGCTAGCAGCCAGCTGGCTATTCTGCCTCACACCTGGGTTTGTAAATGTGATAACATTCAGTTTATTCAATTAAACATTAGTGTCTTCAGGTAGACCTTTCCATTTTTCTAGTGTGGCGTCTTGCCCTTCCAAGGCATTCACCACTCCAGCTGACCTTTTTCTATTGTAGAAGTCCGTGGGGGGTAGGGGGAGATGGCACGAAGAGAAGGAAGAGGAGGATTTTAAGTCTGTATTTTCAGTGTCATTTTCTTTCCCATCCATTAAAGAGACCTCGTGTCTCTTGTAAATTGTATCTTGGTTCTCACTTGTGTTTTTCCGAGTTGACTCCTCTAAGCACCTGCTATTTCTTTGTACTCCTCTTCAGCTAGTTGGCCTAGTTTCCACTTGGTGTACAATTCCCATTCGAATTTCAGGGCTTTATTTTATGCTGCACTTGGTTCTACCAATTAAGTGTCTCACCCCTCCTATCTTGATTCTATATCGGGACAGTCTTTTCTTATGCCTTTAATATTGTTCCTTTGAGGAACATGCGGATTTCCTCTGCTCTTTTGTTGCTTAAATGTTCTTCCCCTGGGACCCTTGACAATTTTCCCAAGCCTAGCAATTTCAGTAAATGCTTAATAACGTAATTTCAGTTGCTTCTATACAGGCACCTCCAGGACTCCACTTAGAGATCTCAGCATGCAGTGTTCCTCAGTTTTTTTGTCTCTCTAGAAAGTTCAGTTCAGTCACTCATTACACAAAGCCCATAACCTCCCCACAAGAGAACAAGGAAGAAAACACGGCTACGTTTATTTACCTTAGCAAGGAACCGTGCAGTGAAACGAGCAGTTTAGATCGCACTGTACACTCTGCTTAACTCACTAGTGTCCCTTTGAGGAGAAATGAAAGACCCCACATCTGGGATTATTGATAGCAGTGCATAATTTCAGGGGGTCCCTCTCACTGGTCATGGGCACTCCCTCCAGCAGTGCAGATAGCAGTCTTCCTCTTCCCATACAGTTCTTCTGTGTGCCCTCCTGGAAATCCTCTCTACGTGATCTTCAATAGCTACGATATCTGCAGAAGTCTTTGCAGCTTCACTGATGTTAACACTCTGGCGGACTATTGTTGTACCTCACATTCTACATTGCCAGCCCATTTGTTCTTCTGCGCATCCATTTCTAGCATACCTTTTGCATCGCAGATAATATGCTTCAGCCTATTCATGCCCACCATATATCTTGGATTCCATGATTTGCAGCTGTAGAGTATCGACATAATGGATAGAGTGCCAGGCCTGGAGTCAGAAAGACTCATCTTCCTGAGTTCAAATCTAGCCTCAGACACTTATTAGCTGTGTGACCCTGTGCAAATCACTTAACCATGTTTGCCTCAGTTTCCTCCTCTGTAAAATTAGCTGGAGAAGGAAATGGGAAACCCATCTGATATGCCTGCCAAGAAAGCTCCAAGTGGGAGTCACAAAGAGTCGGGTGTAACTGACTGACTCATCAGCACATGTCCATTTCAGGAATCTCCCAAATTAGACACAGTGATTACAAGGTCTTTCCTAGCACATAATTCTAAAAGAGATAATGCTTCAAAGGGGACAAAATGTTGGACTTGGAACCAGGAATGCCTGGGTGCAAGAATCTTGCCTCAGATTTACTAGCTGTATGATTCTGGGCAAGTCATTGTACATCTCTGAGGTGAGGTTTGCTTATCTGTAAAAGGAGATAATAATAGTACCTACTTCACAGGGCTATTAAAAAAATCAACATGGGGCAGCCAGGTGGCGCAGTGGATAGAACACCAGCCCTGGAGTCAGGAGGACCTGAGTTCAAATCCGGCCTCAGACACATAATACTTCCTAGCTGCGTGACTCTGGACAAGTCACTTAACCCCAATTGCCTCACTAAAAAAAAAATAAACAAATACATAAAAATCAACATGTAAAGAGATAATGTGTATAAATCCTTAACATCAGTTTTAATTATTACTATTTGAATAAGGACATAGGAGCACTGCCTAGATCTTGAATGTCTTACTGTCATCAGTAAATACTTCCCAGGAACTTGGGAGCCTCTCCTGCTTCTGCTGGTTGTGGCCTCTGCTTGATAGTGCTTCCATGTTGTTTTCCCCATATGTTGACTTTTGTGACTTCATGTTTGCTGACCTCACTTTAAATTCTGTTCCTGTTGTAATTACAGTTTGGTAGTAAACTTATTTAACTGGATCCTGTGGACTGGCTAAGCCTGGTTTTCTATTTTAACTTTAAGGTCATTTAATACAAATGTTACACGGTATTAGACTCAAGACCTGTGAGTTATGCCTCCAGCACAGCTCATTTCCATCTGCCTCCCCTCCCCCAGAGACTAATAGTGAACTGGGAACGACTATGCCTTGGGGATGTAATTTTGTGGTCATCTGCTTACTGACTTGGTAGCAGAGTACACACCATATGTTCCTGGTTTGTATGGGTTAAAGTTAAAATCACAAGCGTGATGCAAATCCAAATACATTATGTATGTTACTTCTCCTTTATCTCAAGGTCCATGTTCTTGTCTTAGAAGACAATTGAATTAGGCTAACAGTATGTTCTTAAACCTTATTGGGGCCTATCAGTCACTATGTCATGTTCTTCCAGGCATTTGCATGTTGAAGTTTACATTCCAAAGTTGTATGTGTGTGTGTGTGTGTGTCTCTTCTTCATTAAGGAGAGTCATCATTTTGACCCATTTGTAATCTTTTGGTATTTCTTTTGTCCCCCATGAATATTGGCCTGAAATTTGGGGAACAGGGATTTTAGGGCCTAACTCTGCCATACTAGTTTTGTACACCTGACTTCTTAGCGCCTTTATGGTCTCATTTGTAAACTGAGAGGATTGAACTATATGATATTTAAAGTTCTTTCCAAGTCAAAAAGTGTAAGTTCTGAAAGTTCCTTAATACCCTAATTACTAGGGTGTTTGACTTTAATGATTGAGACAGCAGATGGCCCAGTGGATTGAGTGCTGGACCTGAAATCAGAAAAGACTTGAGTTTGAATCCTGCCTTAGATACTTACTAGCTGTGTAACCCTGGGTAGGTCACTTAACTGCTGTCTATATCAATTTCTTCATTTGTAAAGTGAGGATAATAATAGTGTCTGCCTGCAGGTTGTTGTGTGAGAATTGGGGAACTGAGTGAATCACACTGACTCCATCGTGTGACTAAATTCTGGATCCAGCTCAGTTGCTTTCTATTCAGTTGTGGGTTTAGTCCAATTTCTGTCTTGTGAGAAAACTTTATTCAATTATGGGAATTGTGAGAAAATTTTATTGCGTTGTTTGAATCTAGCTTTGCATGGCTGGAAAGCTGGACCACCCCACCTGTTGCTCAGAGACCCTTAACCAAGGACCTAGGTTATGCTGACCAGAAACTGAATCAGATCTGAAGATTGATACAAGGCATTTTCTCACAACTATACATCCCAAACAACCCAGATGTCTTATCTGAAAACTAGCTGTGTACTGGTCAGTCAGTTATCATCTTCTTGTTGATTGAATACAGCCACTTGTGTGTGTGGTGTGTTTGTGTTGTGTTGTGTGTGTGTGTGTGTGTGTGTGTGTGTGGCAGGGAGACTGGGATACCTCTTTTGCTGATTTCAGGGAATTGCACCTGTTCGCTCTTCCCCTCCCAACTCGGAAAGCCCCTGATCTTTCCTCCAGTTAGAAATCAGACGACCTAATCTTGTATCCTGCTTTATATCCTGTTAAATATTTTCTTTCAATGCATAAAAATCTGTCTGCCCTTGTACTTGGGGTCCACTGCCAAGCTGAGGAGGCCTGGTCTCACTTTGTCATGCAGTTGGCATACGTTGCTTAATAAAACAGTATGCCTGGAAGCTTGAACCTTTGTTTCCTCAGTCATTTCAGATTTCACCCATCACAGTTGTGACCTATGTTAACATGTTAAGCACTGTGCAGGTCTCAAAGTGCTTCATATAGGTGGTGGTGGTGCTGGTGGTAGTTGTTGTTGTAGTTATACTTTTGGCTTACAGGAACTTTGACACATTCAATCCTGATAAAATAGTAACTTAATATTTCTCTGGTTCTCCCTAGCTGGTGCTGATCGTCAAGGAGGCGTTTTGGCAGAAGGGCTAACAGCACTCTTCTTGCCCCTGGCTGGAGCAATGGAGCTTCCCAACTACAGCTGCCAGTTGCTGCAGCAGCTGTATATGCTCTGCAAGGAGAGACAGTTCTGTGACTGCACCATTTCTATTGGGACAGTTTATTTCAGGGCCCATAAACTGATCTTGGCCGCTGCCAGCCTCCTCTTTAAAACGTTGCTGGACAATACAGACACGATCTCTATTGATGCATCTGTTGTGAGTCCAGATGAGTTTGCTCTCCTGTTAGAAATGATGTACACTGGCAAGCTCCCTGTGGGCAAACACAACTTCTCCAAGATCATCTCCTTAGCTGACAGCCTGCAGATGTTTGACGTGGCAGTTAGCTGTAAGAATCTGCTCACCAGCCTCGTGAGCTGCTCTGGTCCAAGTCAAGTAATAAGAGATGCGTCCCCTCAGACAGTGGAGCCGTGCAAAAAGGATGCTGATAGGCTGCTGGTCGAGAATCCTTCCCCGAAGAACGTGCTTGTGTCTTCCCATTCAGGAGAGGGTCCATCCCCTCCTGTGGCTCTGAAGGCTGACACTGTGGTGGTGGTCAGTGCAATGACCCAAGAAGCTGGGGAGGTGAATCCTGCTGCTGCCACCCAGGAAGAGGCTCTGGAGATTGAAATGAAGCACGCAGCTTCACCGCCAGAGACTGCCAACATCCCCCAAATGCATTCTCTTTCTCCTGGGAAAGAAGTGGTAGGTGAGGAGGTGGAGGAAGAGGAGGTGGTGGAAGCAGCATGTACGTCTCAGAAAATGACAGGGAACGTCACCAAACCAGGTAACTGGCCTCCAAAGCTGTCTTGAAGCCTGGCCTACCATTATCAGTTGATTTCTGTGCTATTTTTTATTTATATTCTTAGCCTCGCCCTTTAAACCTAAGCTTTATGATGCCACACATTTTTGTAAGAGCCCATTCTCCTGCCACGCTTCCCTTTTTTACCTTTTGTTATGTGAGTTGTGTGCATACATAACAGTTACTGCCCTTTCCTAACAGTGGGACAGAATTGAAGTTATGTGGCAGCTTCTCTTCTCAGCACATGCCTTTCTGGGGTGTCCACAGTGACTCGCTATAGACCTCACCAGAAGGGTGATCCAACTGAAGATGTTCTGGGGCCATGCGGCTCCCGAAGATCACCTCCTAGCCATGGAGGGAGTGACTGCAGTTTGGCCTGGTAAAGGGACACCCCCCAACGAAGTCAAAGCTCTTTTGAAGTGCTGAAGCGTAGCAGCTGATGGTTTTCAATGCACTCTGCTCTGGTAGCAGCCTTCTAGAGGTCCGGCTTAGCTACGTTCAAATGACTGGCCTCAGTTTTATCCAGTGTAGTGTTCAGAGCTTTTGTGTGAGGCTGAGCTCTCTTCCTCTTGGCATACTTCTGCGAGATTCTCAGATTTGTCCCATTCTCCCAGTTTGCGTCTAATAGCAGCAACCCTCCTCGCTCTGTGGGAAGAGGGCCTGTCGGCAGTCTGAAGACCAGAAACGTTAGTAAGACCGACAGTAATGTGCCATTTTGGATTGACGCTCGTTGTTCTAACCATGCTGAGTGTGGCACAAAGGAGGAAGCTGTGAGTGACATTCTTGTCCTTATTATACCTGACACTCTGGAGAACAGCTAAAAGATGTGCCTGACCTAAAGACTTGCAGGCAGCTTAAACTTCCATTTAATCCCTTCAATTAATGACGAACTGATCTTGTTTCTTACATGCAGAGCATGAGAGGAAATTGTCTAAGCTGGATTTCCTTCTGCAAAACGAAAGCATCTTCTCTGAAGCGCTCTCTGTTGCCCAGGATGTGCTGAAAAGACTAGATGAGTGTAGAGACATTAAAAGTCCCCACAAGGAGGTATGTGCTGCTTTCTTCCTATCAGCTGTACTTTTAGCACATCTCAGCCAATCTGGGAAGCAGGTATGCAGTGTATACCATGTGCAAGGTATTGCCCTGAATGCTCAGGATAGAAAAACAAAGCAAAAAAATGCCCCCTGCCCTCAAGGAGCTTGCATTCTACTTAACAATCTTCTATCAGCTTGCCATGAAGCCCAGCAAAATGGATATGCAGAATATTCTGATAGTGCAGATTTTTCTTAAATTATATTTCATTTTCTTAGCTTTTATTCTTATAGGATCTTTATACTGTATTGATCTGAAGATAGGCCATGCTCCTAAAGTGTGGGCCCTTTGAAAGGGAAAAAAAATACATAGGCATATGATGAAAAAAATTCCATTGAATTACTATATTTTAAACATGTTTTTGCCATTTAAAATTTTTTTTAAATTTCTTTCAATTCAAATAGAGACTTTTAATTTTTTAAAGTCACTACTTTTGTTGTTACTTTCATTGTTATGGACCATACTCAGGTTTTATACAAACCAGATTTTGAGAGAAGCCCAAGGCTTGCTTATGTTTTGAACAACATAGTATACCACCAGATAAATCGCAGGTGAGGAAGAATGTATATATTCTTCTTGATGGGACGATGCAGGTAATTAAATCAATGGAATCAGCTTTATTGTTTATTCCCCTGAATATAAATTGATGCTTTTTCTGGAAAAATAGCTAAGCTTGATGGCTTCCATATTAAAAGTGCTACCCAGTTATAAAGGCCTCTCTTTGGGACTCTTTGGGTGCTCCTGTTATGTAGAAGGACTTTCAAGTTGTTCTTTTTCTCTGGCTGGTCACCGCTGTTTTATTAATGTGTTGACTTGATGTTTTATAGTCTTTTTTTTTTAAAAAATTTTTTGCAGTTTTAAAAAATAAGTCCCTTGAGGCTTCTTTCCTAACTACCTGTCCAACCATAGCGGAGGGTCCCCAGCCCAGGGACTAGATTCTTGATTGATTGATACGGCTAACTCCTCAGAGTAGAGGCATGATGCCTGAGTGGGGAGGGCAGGAAGGAGGACTGGATTTAGGGAGGCCACGCCCTGTACATTCATCTCTATTAAAAGGTAGCAAATGATCACCATGTCTTCATTAACTCCTCCAGCTGTTTCAGGAGACAGTTTGAGCCCACTTCTCCTTAACGTCTTTCTTAGGAGCATAGAAATCTTACCTTTTTGTTTACCTGTTCTTTTTGGTGGAGAGGATTCGAGAGTATTGGTGGTGTCATCAGAGATGATTATTAGATGATTGTTGCTCCATTTAGGTTTTGTTTATCTTGCGAAGAAGTTAGATCGTTTCATTGTCATCTTGTTATTTGTCAGTGTTTTGTTAAACTCAAAAAGTTTCATTCCTTTCCTGAATACAATCTTACTCTTTTTGAGGCTTGAGTTTTGACACATTGTTCTGAAGGAGAGGGACCCAGGTTTGGTCTAGGCTAGTTGTTAACTGCTTTGTGTATTTCTTCCCTGAAATTAGTTTGTGAAATAACCTTGTGCTGAGTTTGGGGAGGATACCTTGCATTGATGTCCTCCTGATTTTGTTTCCTAGGGATAGATGATGAAAAGTGGCAAATCTATTCTCTGAGCAGTGATTGCAGTAACATAAGCAAAGGCTGGCTTGCTGAAGATGGTGTGAGACCAAACCCAAACTGATTAAGGAGCCTCTGGGGCCTAGAATTGGAAGGTGTCTTTATCTCAGGATAGTATCACCTGCCAGTTAGATAGACAGGGACTGTCTTTGTATCATTTCTTCTGGGAACAAATTCATGTTTTCGTATTGCTTTTGTGCCATAGCTTATATTAATTTTCCTTCCTTTTTTCTGACCATTTTCATTTTTCTTAGTGAATTAGATGTAATATGGCACCTTTGACTAGAGTTAAGAAAGAGCTTTCCCTCTGTTTGCTGTTGATTTCCTAGCTTTTACATTTTTTCCTGCTTTCCCCACAAAGTTCTGGAGAGATCCCTAAAGTCATAGGATCACAGGTTTAGAGCTGGAAGATCTAAGATTCGGTCATTTCTCCCCTTACACTCATTTGTCTAAAAGGCAGGTAAGTCTTCTCTTCTTCATTGTAAATCTGATGTGTTCTACAGCAAGTAGGCCTGCTAGAGAGGGTTGTCCAGCGTACGCTTGTTTGTTCCGTTGTGACAGTGTAGAGTCAGCTCTGTTGTGAATGAGTGCAGGGAGCAAGGTTACTTGTGTGAGTTCTAGAGGAATGAGGAAAAAAGCTGTTCTTTGCCCTGTCTCTCTGAGTCCCTACATAGTCAGGATGAGAAACGCAGCCAGAAGGACCGTTGGAGTACTGGTAGCCTTCTAGAAAGGGAGGATAGATGGACTTCATGATATCCATCAAGTGATTGGAGACAAATCCTCTTAGAAAGGCCAGCAGAGGCTGGGATGATCTGATTCCTAGTCACGCTTTGGTGCTGGGGAGGCAGAACCTGGAGAAAGGGTAAGGTGTCCCACACAGTGAGGTCAGTGGCTCTTCAAAGCACCCAAGGAGAAAGAGGAAAATGAAGACGAGTATGTGATCACAGCCTATTAAAAGTCTGGAGAGGGGGCAGGCAGAAGTGCTTTGATTTGGGGAAGGAAGTAATCCTGGCTGAGTCCCAGATGATGAGGGGAAATTAAAGTGACTTTTCACATGATAGAGTGGGAAGAGAACATGGAGAAGTTAGCCTTTTTTATATAAGGCCTGCGTCTAGGGGTGGATGTCAGCTCAGTGCCCATTGGTTTAATGCACTACCTTCACAAAAGGGCAGATCTGTTGTTTGCATTGTTTTTTCCTGTGCAAGTAAATATGCATTTAAAGCCCTCAGCCCCTTGGGAGAGGCTCTGTGTGTTAGGTTGAACAGTTGGAGTTTTATCACAGGGTACTTAACCCCTGGGCCCCTGGCTTGTTTTAACAGGTGACAGATAGCCTTCCATCTATACAGATCAGCTATTTTAGAAGAGGGTGGGCCAGAAGGTGGTCCTTGCCCAGTTCGTTTGGGCTGGAGAATCCTGAGCAGCTTAGATGGCTGATGGAGCCTCAACCGTAACTGGCTTTCTCTAGTGCATCTTCTCACTGGGGATTAGTAGGAAGAGCCAGGAGCAGGCTGTCCAGGCAGCTGGCTCCTGCCTCCCGGCTCTTCCCTGAGTCTGCCCCTGCTACTCGCCCCAGATGGCCACCTTGTCTTCACTGCTGAGCAATGAAGTTAACAAATGTTTTAATTTCACTGCTGAGTAGCTCTGCAAAGGGAGAGGAAAGAGGGAGGATAATGAGCTGAGTCAGATGCCATTGCTGATAAAAGCTTCTCTTACCCACCAGCTCAAATCAGAAAGCCAGAGGGAGTCAGGACAATATGAGGAGAGCTAGATTTCCGGAAGCCTAAGAGCTAAAGAAAAAAAAATAGTCTGGCACATGTTGTCAGCAAGAGAAAGTCAGGATAGAAGCAGACAGCCAGACCTGCTTCACTTACAGTGTCTGAATGAAAGAAAATGGAAGTCAAGATAGAAAAAATGGTTAGCTTGGGATATTGGAGATGGGCAAGCACGTGGACCCCGTCGCTGCGTCCAGGGAAGTAGCAGCGTCTCTCCCTCAGAGATCCTGTCAGAACTGAGGGTATGAGAGAGCTGCCTTAAGCTGCTGTTGCTCACATAGCTAAGACTTGTTAGAGCTGGAATTTGAACTCAGGACTTTTCTACAAAAGAGTATAAATCCATTATTAAAATGAACTTGTTAAAAAGGATGAAGTTTTGAAATGATTTACTTATTTATTTCTAATATGAAGAGATAGAGACAGTTATTTCAGCTTTACAACCCCCCTGAGATTCCATTAGGAACTAACAAGCATTTATTATTCCTCCCTTCCACTGCCCCTCCCCCACCCAAACCAAAACCATAATCCCCTCCCAAGTCCACAAAACAGATTCCCACATGGGACGTGCCCACAGGTGCATGTCTGTCACTGTGGAGTTTAAGTCCATCATCTCTGTGGCAAGAGGCGGGGGGGTGGCTTATCCTCAGTCTTCTGGACTTAGAGTTTATCACTGTATTAATCTGGAACTTGTTCAACACAACACTCAGAATTGACCTAGAAGGATTATAGAATTTTGTTAGGAGAAAGTAGCAGACAAAAATGAAAAACCACCTAACCCACAAGTATTCATTGAGCACTGAGCCCAGTCCTCAGCACTGTAAAGACTCTGCCTCTGCCTGCAGGGATCATGAGAACACAGATTTGGAGCTGGGGTGGGGGAGGCTTGGGAACTGTCCACTGGTCCTTCCTTTGTACTGATGAGGAAACTGAGGTCCCTGAAGGGGACAAATCTGCCCAGAGTCACATCAGGAGTTAGTGGCAGAGCAGGGCTTCCAACCCAGGTCTTCTTACTTCACATCCAGTTTGTTTTCCTTTTTCCACTGAAATAAGTCATACTGTTGGAAGTGACTGATGATCAAAGCCTGATGGACTTCCATCTTATATGGAAGTCTTGCATGTGTTCTATGCACATTGGTTTCCATGGTACAAGGAGTACAGAAGTCTAAATCCAGCTCTTGCCTGAGGAAGCTTATAGTCTAGTTTGAGATATTAAAAGTGAGCATATATTGCAGATGAGAAGGGACTTGAATTGGGCCTTAAAGGTCAAGTAAAATAAGCAGAGGGTGGCAGTGAGAGTGACGTTGCAGAAATGTAGCCAGTAGTCCCCCGTATAGAGGGTCTTTCTGAATCCTCAGACAACACTGTCCTCCAACTCAAGAAAACACTGGCCTGGACCATTTCTCGGGAGCTCATGAACCTGACTGCACCTTGGTCAGCTGTAGTGAGCAGTGACACTCCTAGTCTTTTACATGGAGGTGAAAGGAGACTATTTCTGTGCTTGTACAGTTAGGGTTTGGCTACAAAATTCTTTCCCCCATAATTTCTGTCTCCAGTAAAGTGCTGAAACAACTTATAAAAGAGGCTTGCAAAGTCAGTCATTTACATA